GAGACGGGGTTTCACTGTATTAGCCAGGATGGTCTCGATCTCCTGACCTCATGATCCGCCCGCCTCGGCCTCCCAAGGAGCTGGGATTACAGGTGTGAGCCACTGTGCCCAGCCAGGCTTCTTTTTTCATTAGTCATTAACAATTTCCATAATGCTAAGCTTAATAGGTCAAGAAATATGCCACGTGCAAGGACCAGCTCCGAGGGCATACCGTGGAATTAATGGTTTCGCTTAGTACATCCTCTTTTAAAAAGATCAGGAATACAGAAAAACAGAAGCCTGGTTTTTCACAAAAATTGAGGCAGAAAGAAAAATAATTTCACAACAGGAAGTGATTAGTAGGACTCTACTTGTCACCACTCCAAGAAAAAGAGGTTATTTTCTAGTTGGAGTATGTATGATGGGCTGAGAAGTACTGCAGGATAGCACATGGGTGTATGTCTCTCTTCTACCTATGATTCTTTAAATTCTAGCTGTAATTCTCTTCTATATAGGTCCTGATCAGGTACCTCTCAGGGAAGAATTTGAGCAGATTATGCTGAAAGCTATGCAAGAATTTACTCTGAGAGAAAGAGCCCTGCAGATAGGTGCTCAGTGTGTCCCTGTGTCACCAGGACAACTCCCCTGGCTTGCTAGATTAATTGCCAGCGTATCTCAAGACTTGGTTCATGTGATTGTGACCCAGAACTCTTTGGCGGAGGGCATTTCAGAGACCTTAAGGACTCTCAATGAAATGAGACACTATCAAAGGCTACCAGATTATGTGGTGGCAATTTGTGCATCGAAAATCAGAGGAAATGAATTTTGTGTGGTAGTGTTAGGTGAGTAACTTTTTTGTTTTTTATTTGTTTAATCAATTCATTCGACCATTTGTCCATTTAAAAATGTGTGTTGTGTGTTTCGGGTATCCACATAGTCAACCTCTGATTAATTGCTGGAGCTTGGGCTCATCCTCCTAATTTTAACTTTCCCTTTCCTTCTCAGATCAGGTTTTGTGTGGCCCTCAGTTTGGCTGGTGCCCCTGTCAGCTGGTTGTGGGAGCATTATTTCAAAGCTCTCCCTAGTAACAGAT